GTCTCTCAATTATTTTCACTTTTGTTTCCATAGCTACTATTTTGTGTATCCTAGCAGTCCCCTCCACATCACCACTGCTCATCCTCTTGCTTCTGGGCATCCCGGTATCTGACTGAGCACTGTACTATTGTACACCATCACACTACACAATAAGCACACAGCAGCACAACTAAAACACTGTCCAGCAGACACAGAGCTACTTCTGCAATTTGTTTGCATCCATGAATGTCCATAATGTGAGCCTAGTTCATATCTGTGAAACCTCACAACTCACATGTTTATAAATTGGGATTATAATGATTGATCGTTATTGTTACAGTCATCCAAAGAAATACTTTAACAGGTTCCCGCCAGTGTGAACCACCAGTAGTATGTACATGACTATCCCACCCAGTAGCTTATATCACTGGTGTTACAAGAGATACAGTCATGCATGAACGACAAGAGTTCAAGCCACCTGGCAGTAAGGCACACGAATTATGGCCGAGTCATAAATGTGTTAAAAATTGTTTAAAAAATTTAAAAATACTTTATAGTCGGGTACACCCATAGCCCAAGGTACTCTGGAGGCTGAAGCAGAATTGCAAATTGAGGCAAGCCTGGAAAGTCTAGCAAGATTTCATTTCAGAAAGGGAGGGAGAAGGAGAGGGAGACAAACAGGCATTTAAGGGTGAAGGGGTCAAGATCGAAACTAACTTTAATTGTGAAGGCCTTGTGCAATTCACACCATTACACTTCATCCTCACACTGGTCCTGGGAAAGGACTCATTCCTGTTCCTTCGCTGCCCTGCTGAAGATGCCAGGTACGCATTCTGAAAGCACCCAGTCAGGTTCTAGCTCTCAAGCAACTTGGGAGGAAAGAGGAATCTGAGCCCAAGTGGGAATAGAAACTAGTTTCAGACCGCACAGCTGTTAAATGAAGACATCAGAATTTCAATCTAAGTTGCACATTTCCAATGCAAAGTATTTGCTTTTCTCATTTAATTTCTATGCTAAAAGACAGGTCCACCTGGAGTACTTACTAAACTGGGTACCCAGAATATAAGCACTACAAAGAATATAAATGAAGGGGGTTATGCCCAGGCCCCAAAGTGAGCAATAGAACTAGAAAATTTCCCACAAAATGGTTAGCCAGGTGGCACACAGCTTAATATTCTGGGAGGCTTAGGCAGAAAGATCTCAAGTTTAACACATTTCCTGCAGGCTTGAAGCACTGGTAGTAAGTGCATGACTATCCCACCAGCCAGATTGTACCATCTAGACTATAAATGGGTCTAATGACTTTCATTAGTCTTTTTATTAATGAAAAGTCACCCAATTAGACAGTTGTATGTGTACCACCTGGTGGTTCAAGATGCTCAGCATTATGACACATAATTTATGGCCCCACTGAATCCATATTAAACCCAGTATGGGCAAATGAACAACTGAGTGAAACTCTGTCTCAAAACAAAAGAAAACAATTTTTAAATTTTCAAAAGGGCGCTGGAGATGTAGCTCAGTGGAAAGGCCCTGTGTTCCATCCCCAGTATCAAAGAAACAAAACCAAAATAGAGGATTGCATCATCCTAAAGACACAAGGTGATTAGAAAGTTTGTGGACGAGACAGCAGAACCTATGCTAGATCTGGAAAAACACTCTTGAGTCTGCCTGTGGCAGAGAGGATGGTGTGTCCATGACTTAGCAGCATAGCACCAACAGGGACAAGGACACAGCAATGATTGGGACATATGTGAGGGGAGGGAGCAGTACAGTGTCACCAATCCTAGTGTGGATCCCACCACGACCATAATCCAATTCCCCAACCCCATCTAAAGCCACTTAACAAATCTGTAGTGCTGGTTTGCTGTTACTGTTGTTTTTAGATGTATATAATTGCTACATATAAAATGGATTGAAAGAAGTAGGGGAGGTGCTATGGTTTACGTTTGGATGGCCCCCCAAGCCTCATGCAGTCATGGAGGTGGCTGAATCTAGCATCTGTATTGGTTTGTTACCTAGTGCAGAGATCTGACTAGTGCGAATACTGCACTCACCCAGAGGTGGGTAGCTGGCATACAATATAAGGGAGGGAAGAAGGTGTGCTTTTCTCTTTTGCCCTTTACATTCTTGCTGTTGCAGCCACCATGAATGGCTTCCTCTTAGCCATGCCACCATGCCTTGGGGCAGCTGAGTATGGACTGAAACCTCCAAAAACTGTAAGGTAAATAAACCTTTCCTTTCTTCATTTTGGGTGTCAGGTATTTTGCCTCAACAAAAGAGAGAAAAGTAACCATGACTAGGAGGTATGAGTGACTTATATTTTATATCCACATGTCCTCCTAAAGCCTTATGTGCTCACAGGTGGGGCTTTGAGAAGGTGAGTGGATTACAGATTAGTCACTGATGAGCTTATAGTTAAATGTGATGTTAGGAGGTGAAGCCTCATTGAAGTCTCCGGGGCACAGCCTGGAAGAGTCTACCTCTCTCCCTTGATCTCTCTCTGCCTCTTGCTTACCCTGCCATGGACCGTCTCTCCCCTGTAATGTCCTCTGTCTTGGACCCAGTCAACTATGGACAAACAAAGCTAAACAAACTTTTCCTCCTCACAAGTTTTGAGTGTTGGGTACTGTATTACAGTGACAACAAAGCAGCTAAAATGGTGACCTATAAAAAACTTCTGCATTATGTAAGGTTAGAAATAGGAAGGAAGAGAAAGAAAAGATACTAAACAGGTATTTAAGAAACATGATGAAAAAAATGTTTTAAACTCAAAACACTGATAGGAGCACAGATAGGAGCACCCACAGTACTGACATAAATGTAAAATGGAATCACAAAAAGTGCTTCACAATACCTCATTCATGGGAGGTACTCCCTAAATGTTTCCTTCTTAAAAAACAGCTTCTTTGAGGGAAGGCTTATACTGCACAATTTACCCTTCGAAAATGTGCAATTCAACATTCACAGAGTTGTAAATATGACATCTACACATCCTAATTTCAGAACATTTTTGTCACCCCCTAAAGAAATTTCATATGACTGGCAGTTAGATCCCAACCCTCAGCAACTACTGCTCTATAGATTTGCCTATTTTGAACTTTTATGGAACCACATCAAATGTGGTCTAACATATTTCCTGACTTAAATCAGAACATCTGGATGGAGTGCCAGTGCTGAGGAGAAAGTGAGGCCTTTATGATGCCTCCTTGTGACAGTGACACCACCAAAAGAGGCGGGATAGCTCAGCTCAAGATGCAACTACAAGTCCAGGAAGCCACACTCCATTTCCAGCTTCCTGAGAAAAGGGAACAAAGGTTGAACAGTGCTAATCCAAAAATCCAAACTCTGAAACTTCCAACTCTCCCATCTTTTCCAATTATCTCTTTCAATTCCAAGATTTAGGTCTTCCAGGTAGACATTAAAACAACGACAGGATGGAATTCCCAAAGAAAAAGAGCATACAGCACAGAGAATAGATGACTGCATTTAAGACTTTTTATAAGCGGATAAAGAAAGCAGGACAAATTCAAATACATATGCCTAGGAAGAGGGGCTACCTGTGATACAGAAGACTGCAGTTATCAAGGAGGGGAAAGTGAAAAAAGTGCTAGGGCAGTGATGGTCAACCTACAGCACGCATATTTCAGCAGGCTGTTTATATCACTGAGAGCTCTAAAGGTTTGCTCACTGCTTCAGGACTTAATAAATTAAGTTCTGTTTCAATGGCAAACACATTCACTATAGCAAAGTAAAAGCTTCTAAGGGAAAGTAAGTAGCAAAATGTGGACAGGAAAAACAGTCTAGCCTTCACAGGGCTTTGAGAAGGATAAAAGGACAAATGTACCAGTTAAGTATTTCAAGTGTACAAAGTGATCTTAAGTACAATTATTTCTATATGCATTGTTTGCATATATTCTCAAGACAGTAAAAAATTCAAAGAAATGAAAGAACTTCTTCTTTAAAGTAGTATCTATCAAAAAAGCTCAATCATTTTAAAACTAGGTGTTATTCCCAGGATGTCTAGATCATGTTTGAACACAAGTAGAATTTCAAATATATATCCAAGACGTAAGAAAAAATCTTAATAAACAATAGATTGATGTATCCTCTACCTATGTAATGATTCTTATTTAAGGCTTTAAAAATAAGACATGAGAATTCTACAAGAAAAAAGGCAGCAAATAGGCAGTTACTAAAAACAAAATTTATGTCATAACCCAGTTTTATACTTCTCACCAGCTCATTTTAGACTCAAACAATGTAGTGTCTTGACATTTTAAATACAGATTAAATACACACTAATTTCCACTTATTAATCAGGTCAGTATGCTTTATATTTAAAAATATAGTATATAGGGGCTGGGGATTTAGCTCAGCAGCGTAAGCGCCTGCCTTGCAAGCAAGCAGTTGTGAGTTCGATCCCTGGTACCGATAAAAACGAAAAAGACCAAAAAAAAAAAAAAATACAGTATATAAAAGATCCAAAATTTTAAAATGACGCTGAATCTTTGATTCATTTAAAGAAGTCTTTAAGATTTAAAAATACAAGTTCCTTATCCTAAATGCTTGGGACCAAGCACGTTTCAGATTTTAAAATGTTTGTGTATACATAATGACATATCTAGAGGATGGAGCCAAACCTAAACATGACATTCATTTATTTCTCATACACAGCATATACCATATACCATATTTCTAATTTGTCTGTATTTACAATCTGTCATGTGAGGTTAGATCCAGCACCTTCTATTTTGGTATCACGTCAGGGCTCAAAATTTCAGATTTTGGATTTTCAGATGAGAGATAGTCAACCTGTATTCCCCTTTTTTGGGAAATACTTTCCAAATGTGATACAATTTCCTGAAGTACAGCAATGCATAACTTTTAACTAAAAAACAATCACAAGAAGCAAGTTTGCATGAGAACAAAAAAATGGCTTGAGGTTATTCTGAGTTAACAACAAAATGGGAAAATGAAAACTGTATCAGGTTCCTTTACAGTTATAAAATTTCACTTACTTTTTTAAACATAACTAGTGAGATGACTGCTGATGCTGTGAAAAGTGCTGCTATGATTATCATCATGATTCCAACAGGAATATTTTGGTTAAGGCCAGTAAGGGATGAAATCCAGCCACTACAAAATAAAAAAAAAAGTATAACTAAGCAAGCAAGTCAATGTATACTTTAAAAAACAACATAATGCCTAAGCCATACTCAGTGCTTCTGAATCAGGCAATGTCTAAGGTCTTTCTATGCACTAACTTATTTACTTCTCACAACCACCCCATGAGACTGACGCTATTTTTAATTCCTATTTTACAGATGAGGAACTGGGTCACAGACACATTCAGGTCCAAAGTCACGGAGTTGATAAATGGCAGCATGATTTCAAACAAAACTCCTAAACCTTGAGTATTTATCATCAGATTCTTATATTATTTAAGCCTGTGAATTTATTATTACATTTTTAAATGTTCATTTTAAAGTTTGCTGAATTATGGGAGAAAATATGCAATGAAGGATTAGTCTCTAGAATATAAAAACTGTTGCAGCTCAATCTTACAAAAATGCATTTACACAACTCATTTGGGAACACTCCTGTCCTTAGGAGCTATTCCTATTCCTGATAAATGTTCCTACTCTTTAAAAAATCCATTTAGGAAATAGACAAAAGACATGATGAGATATTTCACTGAAAAGACAAAGACAGCAAATAAGCACATAAAAAAATGTTCAACCTCATGAGACATTAGGTAAATGCAACACAATGAGATATCACTGCATATTTTTCAGAATGGCTAAAATTAAAAAATTGATAATACCAACACTAGTAATGATGTGAAAGGTGAATCACTTGTAACTATTGGTAAGTTTATAAAACAGTATAATCATGCTGGAAAACAGTTTGTCAGTTTCTTTCAAAAATATAAAAATAAAAACTCAGCTAGGCATACAACTTCCACATGACCCAACTAATTATATTCTTATCCCAAAGAAACAAAAAGTATGTTCTGAAGAGCTGCTCGCAAGCACTCAGCAGTTTTTGTCATAACAGCTTCAAACTGCAAACAATCCAAATGTCCAGCTGAAGAATAAGAAAAGGACCTGTGGTACATTCGAGCCACAAATTACTCCTCAAGAATGAAAAGAAATAATCTACATATACCAACCCAGATGACTCTTGAGAGAATGAAGCTGAGTGACAAAACTCAAGAGTTGCACACTGTCTGATTACATATACACAACTCTCTCACAATACCAGGAGACCAAATGACAAGCAAATTAGGCCTGTGGGGTAAGAAGGGAGGAGGGACCAGTGAGCTGTGAGGGTGACTATGAAAAAGTAACAGAAGGAATTTTCTAGTAACTGCAATGTTGGTATCCTCACCACCAATCTGAAAGTCCTTGTTTCTATATTTTATGAAATTTCACACTAGGGAAATGTGCAAAGAGTATCTGGAAATGCTTGGCATATATTTCTTACAACTGTATGTCAATTTGCCTCAAAATAAATTATACAATTTAAAATATCTGAATAACGCAAGGTCTATCTTAAACAGGTCAGCATACATAACCCCATTAGTACACTCTTCAGTACTAGTCACATGCTATTCTGCTCAATTTTGACATTTTCCACCTAAGTTCAAACTAAAAAAAAGCAAAAGAAATTACTTCAACTTCACAATTTTAAAAACTATGCTGTTAAAGCAAACATAAATAAAATATTTAAAACATCAAGAGTGATTTAAACTATCTCTGTAAGCCCTATGTGTGTATATATGTCTATGAGGAGCTTGCAAACTTCCCAGAGGTGTCTGACAACCAACATCACTTGATTCAAAGGCAGCACACTACACAGAAGTCCTGCAAACACTTGTCTTGTGCACACTTCCGTTTCCTCTTCGAAAATACGGCACACCTCACTGGAGAGGCACTCTGCCACCACCTTCTGCACCAGGCTCCTGAGGACCCCTCTCAGTGAGCCTACTGTTTAATAATGTTTGTGAGTGTACACAATGACTCAACCTCCCCAAGACAATAGCTCAATATCCATGCAAATGTGTGTGAGTACACGTGTGTGAGTTGGGCATGGAGTTTCACACCTGCAATCCTAGCATTCTAGGAGGCTGACGCAGGAGACCCTATTTGGCCCAACCTGGGCAACTCAGTGAGACCCTATTTCAGAATTTTAAAAAGGGCTAAATGTAACTGAGTGCAAAGGTCCTGGGTTTAATATCCAGTATCACCAGAACAATAAAAACAGGACAACAAAATTGTATGTACACCTAAAATAGTGCTTTACACACAGAAGGTGTTCTTTTCCTTCAAATTCTTGATATTTTCCCTCCCTTCTGAAATTTTTTGGTCCTCCTATCTCTGATCACCCTTCAGTCTATTTTTTCTATTCTTCCTCTTAATGGCCCTTACATGCACTCCATTTAAACTAAATGCCCTTAAAAAACATATGTATTTATGCATTTTATTTAAACTAAACGTGCTGTTTTAAAAACAGGAATGCAATCTTTAAAGAGCATAGTTTCTCCAAATATTGTGTCTTAGGAAAAAATTTAAAAAAATTTTTTTTTATTTCCTTGCTCCTGCTAAACTGGCTTTTCTATGTTAACTATATGGATCAGGACAACAAAAATTATATGTAAATATTAAAAATAACTTCAAGTTGGTTTATACAAATAGACTTACCAATTGCCCCAGTTATGAAACCCAGCAGCCTGGAGCACATGGACAGCAAACTGACAGATATAGACGAAGAAGAACACAAAGAATCTGAAGGAACTGTCGCTCCTTAAGGTGGAGGGAAAAGGGGAAGATGTCATTTTTCTTATCTTTACATTCACTGACATTTCAAAACTTTAAAAGCAAAAGTGGCAACTACATAAGAACTAAAATCAAGAAAAACTTTTGTGACATGTAAATATTCAATATTATTACAGTCTCACTTTGTCTTTCAATTTCCAACTGCATTACTAACCATCTTAAAAGTTTTCCTTTTATTAAACAATCTCACAGAATTATAATCAACATAAAAGAAATAACAAATATTTAAAATATATACTTTGAAAAGCACTGACCTATGTATGCACCTGAAATTTCCCCAGTCCATACTGTGAGCCTGTTCAAGAGTTTCCCTCAGGCTCTAGGCAATCTCATTCTCCCTTCCTGCCTTACTTTTTATCTTATACTTTGTCTGTCTTGGATTTTTGCATAAATACAATCATACATTAGTTACTCATGTTGACACAAAGTAGGGGTGGTTTGGCTTCCTTCATTAAGCACAATTATTTCAGATTCACAATGTGCATGTATCACCATGTCATATATCAGAAATTCATTCCTTTTCATTGCTGAGTAGCATTCCACCATACAGCTATCTCACAGTTTATCTGCCCACTGTTGATGGAAATTTAGGTCCTTGGCAGACTTCCAGGAGAACATGGCGGATAGATAGCAGCAGCTACCGAGGCTCTCTGAGATACGCCACTTAAAATCCAGGAATGGTGCGGTACAAGGAGTCCTGAGCAAGGGGAGATACACCCTGCCAACTGAGGAATGAACTAAGCTAAGAGAAACCAACTGGAAATCCAATCCTGGTGCTATAATAGGAACAGATAAAACCTCAGCATGGGAAGCTAGAACCCGCACCACAGAAAGCCGTGATTTCAATTTCCTGCTGCCACTGCTATGTCCAAATCTGCAGGGCAGGGAAAGAGACTCGCGAAAGCTCTGAGAGCGGGAATCTGCGAACGGAGTTGAGAGCAGGACTAGCAGCGAGCCCTACATCAACTTGCGGTGAATGAGTGGAACGAGGACCCTTTTATAGAGTAGGAGGCTCCAGCAAAGGACATACTGGGACTGGGCAGACTTGCCAGAGCAGGGCGCTGCAGTGACATTAGCTGCATATTCCCCTCTCAAGCAGGACTGGTGGGGAGTGCCTGGCCTGTGTGACACTGCTGACTAAGACCCAATAGGCTAGCCCAAACCAGGTCCCAGCGCCTGGAGGTGCACCCTAGCAGTAAAGCCTTCAGTAGGTTGACCTGGAGGGGCGGGCCCAGCAGAGGCTGCCCAGGTCTGTGTCTCCCTAGTACACTGCAGTGGGTGGTGCAATTCAAACAACTGTAACCGACAAAGAGAAAAAAATTGGGCCTCCTACATTTGCTTGTATGGAAAGAACAAAAAGTATGGGAAGAGGAAGCAACAAGAAAGGGTCCTTAGTCCCCAATCCTGAGAACACTGATCCAGGAAAGGGAAACGCAAAAGAAGACAGAAAACATGCAATATCAGACATGGCACAGACGTAAAGCAGTATCTCCAGAGCCTCGTAGATGAGTTTAAAAATGAAGTATTTAATGAAATAAAGCAAGATATAAGTACAATAGTTAGAGAAATACTACGCACCGCCCAAGAAAAAACAGATGGTGGAATGGAAGAACAGAAAAAAAGGGGAAAATTGTTTGATGGAGAAAACAGAGAAAACATAGAATACGTGAAGCAAGTTCAAAGAGATTACCAGGAAACTAAAAACTCTATTGAAAGCTGGCATAACAGCTTGAAAGAAACTAAGGATAGATTATCTGAATTGGAGGGCAGATTTGTAATATGGGAGCAGGAAATGAAAAATTTTTTAAAAATAACAAGAAAACAAACATCAATAATACAAAGGCTAGAAGATGGTAAGAGGATCTATAACTTAAGAATTAAGAACATAAAAGAAGAAGTAGGGACACAAACAAATGGACTACAAAAACTCTTCACAGAAATAATCCAAGAGAATTTCCCTAATTTAGCAAAAGGTAAAAATACTCATATGTATGAGGCATAAAGGACCCCAGCCACCTACAACCCAAACAGTGCTACACCCAGGCATATAATAATCAAAATTCCAGAAATCCAATGCAAGAACAGAATACTAAAAGCCGTCAGAGTCAAGAAACAGATCACTTACAAGGGAACACCCATCAGAATCACAGCAGACTTCTTGGCACAAACCATCAAATCACGAAGAACGTGGGGGGAAATAATTCAAGCTTTGAAAGATAACAACCTCCAGCCAAGATTGATATATCCTGCACAACTGTCCCTAGAAATTGATGGAAAAACAAGGTGCTTCCAGGATAAAGAGGAACTAGGGGAATTTGCAACCACCAATTCAACTCTACAGAGACTACTACAGGATATTCTAAAAAAGGAAAATACCAAGACTTCAGAAACAGTGGCAGAGAGGCCACTATGAATGGAGCAGAAAGCGAAATGTAGAAGAAAAACTGACAACAAATGACAGAAAAAGAGCTCAACAGAAATGAGGCAGAGAAGATTGGATGGTAGGAACAGCTATTTTGGAGAAACAAGACATCATAATAGCTAGTGCTGATTTAGTATCATCTTGCTTTAAAGTCCCATCAAGCTTTTATTCTTCTGTCTTCATCCATCTTAACAGGTTGTATCTCATTGGATTTTATTATATGTGTGTGATAATATAAGCAGAAACTTTTTTTTTTGGTCTTTTTCGTTTTTATCCGTGCCAGGGATCAATCTCATGACTGCCTGCTTGCAAGGCAGGCGCTTATGCAGCTGAGCTAAATCCCCAGCCCCAGCAAAATCTTTTATAGACAAGGAGATTATACAGAAACCATTGTTCATTTTCTGATAGTTGGTTCTAAATACCCTGTAATACTGTCATTCTCTTGAATGGTTTTACATTGTCTTGCTATGTTTGGTGCTACAGTATACGAAATTATACTCAAAGATTTCAAGGAAAGAGACACTATGGTAACTACTTTTATGTCAGGATATCCTGTGGTGAAACACTATTTTGCTTAAATGGTTATGATTTGACCTGTGCTGGTTTGTTGTTATGCCCTCTTTTATCTCAATCTCCTTTTTTTAAAATTATTTACTTTTTTATTTTTATCTTTTTAATTAAGGGAAAAGCAGGATACATTATAGTAACCCACTTTGATTTCCTATTAACTTCATTTGAACCCCTGTATAGCCCTCACCATCTTGCTTTGACTGATTTTCCTCTATTCTGTTTTGCTTGATAGTACCAAGTTCGAAAGTACAGGCAAAACTGTAAAGACAGTAAGATTCATTATGACGCCCATCCTGGTTGACTATTATGTTCTTTTAAAGTCCTGTAATGTCTCCAATGTTTTGGTTTTATTCTTTACTGTTTTGTTCAATTTTATTATAACTGATGATATAGGCAATTCTTTTTAAGATAGCAAGAGGCAGTATGGTAACCATTGTTGATCACTTTGTTTTTACATTATCTATTATGCCCATCCTTTTAATTTGACTGACTACTTTGTTATGTCACATTTGGTTTTACTGTCTTCAAAAAAAGTAATAAGAACTGTGGGAGTAATAAAACCCAAAATGTGTAATTGTCATTGTACAAAAGAAAGGAAAAGAAAGTGCTCTAAAGAATATAACTGCATATATATTTAAGTGTATAAGATAGATAACCATATTACTGAGTTTTGTTGGATCATTGAATATAACTGTTTCCAGTCTCAGTGTTTTAAAGTCCAGTTTATATGCTTTAATTTTGTAACTTGAACAACTATTTCTAAGATAACAATATTTAATCTATTAACCAGTGATTTCCTACTGTTTATGTTTTCTGAAATTCTATATAACTTGTATCCTTTTTCTATTTTTTTCTTTTTCTCCTTAAATTAAAAAAAAAGAAATTTAGGTCCTTTTCTAGTATTTTACTATTACGTAAGTCTCCAAAAAGTATATAGTTCCTTTTTCTTGGGTAAATACGTGCAAGTAGAATGGCTCGAACACATTTAAGCATATATAAAGCTTTTAAAGAAACTGCCAAGCTATTTTATAAAAGGATCATTCTGTGTTACATTCCTACTAGCACTGTGGGGGTATTCCAGTTCCCCTATAACTCACCAGCACTTGGCATGGCCCATTTTTTTTAAGTTCTAGTCATTCTAATATTTGGTTTTCATTTTCATTTTCCTAGTAAGTAGTGATGTTAAGCTTCTTTGTATGTCATCCAGACTTCTTTGGTGAATTACTAAAATCTTTTTCTGATGTTTTAACTAATTTATTTTCTTTACTCTTAACTTTTGAGGTTTTTAAAAAATATATAAATATTCTGATAATACAATCCTTTATTAGATAATTTCCTAGTTAGAACAGTTGGAGCATATGTCAAACGGAAGCATCTCCAAAAAAAGCAAACAACAACAACAAAATAAAACCCAGAAAACAAATCTGTTTCATTTTGTGCCCCCCCCCAACTTTGGCAAAGATTTCCTAGCTACAACAATAGAGTTAAGATTTAAGGAAATCTTTGCCAAAGTTGAGGGGGGGCACAAAATGAAACAGATTTGTTTTCTGGGTTTTATTTTGTTGTTGTTGTTGTCTGCTTTTTTGGAGATGCTTCCGTTTGACATATGCTCCAACTGTTCTAACATCATTTCTTAAAAAGACTTTTCTGCACTGCCTTACAGATACAAAGGTCTTGGTGGGTTTATTTTTATTTCTGAACTCTCTATTCTGTCTCAGTGTTATGTGTCTAACTTTCTGATACTCAGTATCAGAGTACGAAGGTTACTAGAGCTTTCTACTAATTCTTTAAATTAGCTAACATCAGTGTATCAATTTATTATTCTTTTCCAAATTTGTTTGACTAATCTGAGATTCTTTCATACTCATGCTTTTTAGAATCACTTTGTCATATACCTAGAAAAACACAATACTGGAATTCAGATTGAGACTGCATTGCAAATCTACAGATTCATTTTAAGAATCATTATAATAGA